AAATTAAAATCCAGTCATTTACTTGGAATCTAATGTCAGTGTAGATTTAAATTTTGGCAGAAATTAATGCTTAAAAAATATATATACGTATACCAAGAACACAAGACCACTCAGGCTGTCATTATGGAAATTTCCTATAGTCTGCTGTTGGGATGTTGCCAAACATCGGGAGTAGATTACATTAGCCGTCTTGAAATCTGAGCTTCATGCGTTCAGGTAGTACCCACCGCTTAATTGATGCATGTGCGCCACCTCTTTGAAAGCCTCCCCGAGCAGTTGCTTATTTCCTCGCAGGTACCACTCAGTAATCTACGACGTCTGTCAGCTGTTGACGAAAAAAGTATGTGCTAATAATACAAAGACCGTTCGGACTATCAATGTAGGTATCCCCTGTTAAAGGTTGAAGGGAAAATATGAAAGGAAGACAAAGAAAACGAGGAAAAGCGTAGTAGGATGGGAGAAGGGATTGAGGAAATTTTTGTAATAGGTAAGAAATGTTTCGGTCCTTGTCAGCGTCATTACTGGGTGCTTTCACATGCCAAGCGCAGTATATACTGTGTACTAATTACAGCACATGGTTATTTAGTATTCACTGAATGCTAAGAAAAAATTGAGGCCTTCGAAAATCGAAAGGTTGTGTCCTAAAGCTTCAGCATATGCATTGTGTTGATAGCGCTTTCCGCCACTTAGCATCAATCACGATAGTATTTCTGGGGCCTCAAACAGCAACATTATGTTATGCTCATTTTTTCTCTGCCAGCACTATTAGCAGTGGTTGTTGTCAGATTTACGGCACAGTTGTTATTCCGGTTCCTCTGTTTTTTGTTGCTCTCGGTACTATTGTTGACTGAGACTGCTGGACAGTCCGCAAGATTATCCCGTGTTAGCAATGTTACTGAGATGCTTTTTCATATAAATCAGAACTGTATCAGGTCCTTTAGTTTCGAGTTACAGCACCAACACACTAAATTAACCCAGAATCGTATATTTTTTTTCACTGTAATTTCTGTATTGTTTATAATTAATGCTTTTATATTTGTTTATTTGGTACATTAGTGTTTACTGTACAAATCCCGTAGTAACTAGAAGAAAAAGTACCTGTATTGTAATACTGTTAATTACACTAGCATAGTAGTAGCAATGATTTTTCTCGAAAAAAGAGATGACACTTTCAGTCACACTGGGAGGCTAACAAAATCCTTTGTTTTAAAAAGAATAAGCGCAAGAAAGCTGTGCTAATTATATAATGCTAGCAGTGGCGGGGCTGAAATTTAATCAGCTATCCATACAGTTTCAACTTAGAACAATTTTTTTCGTTAAGTAAAAGAAAAAGAAACTGTTACAGAGAGGACAAATGGAAATGCATCGCAAAGCGTTAGCACCCGAAACCGGAGAAAGTTATCGCTAGCATGCGAAGCGCAAACCGCTAGTGTACGTGAAGAGCAGTTCCCTGGACACAATTACGGCTCGTTGAGTCGACGGCAGAAGAATAAATTGGAAGCAAGCATTCAGCGGGTACATCAGAGGTCAGTGCTCGCTATTTACGTTTTCGTATTTTATTCACCGAAATCCAGCTGTGAGAGCGCGCACGATGAAAGGTATCTTAGAGAATGTGATCATCTCTCAGAGGAATAAGAGTGTTTCGAAGAAACAATTATAAAAGAAATCATCGAAAATTAGGTTTTTTTTTAAAAGATATCAAAACGCCAAATTTAAAAATCGGTTATATGGTCACTCGCATTCTTTGTAGATATTGGTACATCTAATATAGGACAGAGGGATTTGGGGAAAATTCTGGAGAGGTAATTGGCAAAAGATAAAAGCAAAGCAACTTTAGTCGGTTCTGCTTCTGGCCGTTCCATATCTTTTAAATTAATCAGTCCTTACTTCTAGAATGAAAAGTAGGCGCGGAGATCTGAAAATTGCTTTGAAACACTTCGCGTGCAAAACAAAATGCTTCAGAAAGAAAACACTGTTACTGCGTTCAAAACATGGGTAACAAGTATTATCGGATGTGGTTGCTAACGTATAGGGATAACTAGCCCACACTGCTCCACAGAGCAAAATTGTTTTTCGATTTTGTGCATTTTTGCTATGCAGCGCTGCTACAACCAGCAAAAAAGTGTATTGTCGAGAGGTTGTCTGTGTGTATGTGTATGTGCGTGCGTGTTCGGAAGCAAGTGCATTTTGTCACCCACTTTCATCTCAACAACCAGGAAAGCTGGGAGGTTGAAATTTCGGATGTATCGTCCTATCCGGTGTATCACCCTTCCGTTTTAAGATCTTCCCCACACGCGTCTAGACCCTGCGTACGGACCCCCGAAAAAATATGCAAATTCCCTTGGCGGGAAACGATTTTGCAAACCAGACAAGGTACAAAGTTGAAACTTTGCAGGAATATTCTCTGTGCATGTGCAAACTAAGGATTTCAAATTCATTTTTCAAAAAGCGAGCATTTACCGAAGAACGACCCGGCTTCATGCAAAAAACTGGTAATAATGTACCTGGAGGTCCATGCGGCCCTATGATGCAACAACCTGATCCCAACTGATGGCCATTCTGCTACATGCCGGGAGAAACTAAAGCACGGCCAGTATGGTCTTAAATGTTAGCCTGCAGCACAGGGATCATTCCTGCTATTAGCGACCCGCGAGTTTAGTGCAAAAGTACATGATCGCAGCGGCAAGCCTGCTGCGTTCCAGCCTGGGTTATTTTCAAATTTTTTTACTGAATCTAATATTAATAACGCTTGCTGGAACGATCGGTGCATGCCAGTATCGTTACTGAGATGCTCCCACACGCTTGATGTAACTATAGCAAGCTCGCTGATCCTGGGCTGATGGCTTGTCAACTGTTGATTGGAAAATATGCTATCCT